CTTGAGTCATGGAATCATGTGGTCTCCTAAAATGAGGAAATACCCCCAAGGGCTTAATCCCTGTTTCCAGAACTACTACCTTACTTGACCTCATAAGAACCCCATCTGTGTATTGCAGAGTTATAGGAAAATCTGACTTATCAGCAACCCAGGAAGTAAGGCTCCTGATACAGATTTGTGTGCCCTAGTTCCCTGTTCTGTGCCTGCCACTCAGAGCTGGGTATGAATTCAGCATCTCCACAGAATTTACCAAGCCACAAGGTGGAAGAGGAGCCCCGCCTTTGGTTCCCACAGCCTCTCACTCCTACCACGGCCCTCTGGATCTATTGCTCCAAAGCAAAACGGAAATCAACCCTCTGTCTTCTATACTCCTCTGCACTCTGAACAGAGGCAAACTGTATCAGCTGTCTCTCCCCCCAAGGGAAGCTTCTTCATGAATATGGATTAGCTAAAAGGGCATTTCCATCATCTGGATCACAGATGAAACGTAAAGATCAACACTTCTCATCCTTCAGCTTCAGTGATCCTAAAAAAGAGTAGATGAGAAAGGAGGAGGAGGAACTGCTCACCTTATCAAGGTGGTTGTAGAAATCGGTGTTCGCCGCACACAGATACCTCCCAAGTAGCGTGGCGTGGGTTGTGAATATTGTGGCAATCGGGAGTTTCCGGGCCCGAGAAAGAATTAGCCCAGTTCCAGCCTGCCATTCATGGAAGTGGGCAATAACATGTTGACCATCTGCGTGATCTGTCACCTACATCAGAAGAAAAAGCACTAAGAAAAGTTGTTGGTGACGCCCAATCCTGCTCATGGCCCACAGCGTAAGCAGAGTTACGTTATCTGAAAATTTTACTGAAATTCAAAGGAGTTTAAATATTAGGGATGTGGACTTGATTCAGCAGCATATTCATCAAGTCCGTATATTTTTATGTCTTAGTTCCCACTTTCAGTGACTCATCAGATCAGAAGATATTAATATTACTGATAAATATTAGTAATGATATTAATAAATACGCAGATGTACTCAGTGAATTTTCATTGAATAGATGCACCAAAAATAATATAATATTACTGAAGATATCATTGAACAACTGAATTAATTTGATCACCTCTTTAAGAAGCTTCTTTATAAATAAATAAATGACCCCATGCTTTAAAATTCTCTTATTTGGGTCTTCTCTTCTTTAAAGTCAAACACATTTCATAGTAAGCATATTAATATTTTAAAATATGGAACTGGAGAGAGAGAGAAATTCAAATAACCCGTGTTTAGACTCAAATAGGAGCTTAGTAATACATTCTGGGCCCAGGTTGGACGTCAAGCTCTTAAAATTAGCTCATCTGACCCCCGCAAAAAAAAAAAAAAAGAAAAGAAAAAAACTCACACTGCCCTCTCCTGATCACTGACCACTTCCTTGTTGAAGAAAATAGCAAAATCCTGCAGCGTAAGCAGCCTGAGCAGAGAGCTGGTCGGTGTGGAGAGTGAACATGAGACTGTTTATCACACTTAAGGTGTATCACAATCACCAGGAAAGCCAGTGAAAGCCTCCTATCTGGATCTACCTCCGGATAATCTAGTTCAATCTGCTGTGCAGGGGTAAGAATTAGTATTTTTTCAAGTTTGCAGGGGATTCTGGTGATTTCACAACACACTCTTTGAGATCCGCTAACTTCAGCTAAGCTCTCCGAGCTTCAAAGTAACCAAGCTTCAGAGAGTCCTTGAAGCTCTTAGCAGTTCACAGAAGTGGCAGCACAGACAGGATTGCCCAGTAGTCTTGGATTTTTTTTTTTCAATGTCTCTCTATTAACCCTTTAAACCAAAGAAAATTTTTATTTCCAAAACTTTTTATTTTAGAGAAAATTGAGTTCATATTTTCTTCTTTCTTTCCCTTCTGTTTCCCTTATGAGAAAAGTAATGGAGAATACACACACACATACACACACACACACACACACACACACACATACACACAGGGTAGCTGGCCTCAGCCTTGGGGCACTGGCTCAGGGCAGCAAACTGTGGAGGAAGAGCTGGTTCCTGTCCTGAGAATGGGACTGGCCGTCTGTCACTGAGACAGGTTCTTCCAGTACCTCCCTGCCTTTTCCCAAGCTGTCACCACATAAAGTGAAAGGGGAAGAACATGCTCATGGGTATCAGCATGACGTCATCAGAAGGAAACGGTTGGATAAAGGAACACTTCCCCACACAGGGTTCTGAGATTTGTTTCTGCCCTTGGACTTTTCCCCCGGTGCTAAAGATACTCTCCCTTCACTAGATGCTTTTTGTCTACGTGTAATCATCTGGAGGTAACGAAAGGGATGTGCAGAACTCCTACTGCGACACTGGGAGGGGTTAAGAGAGTTCCGGCTTGGCTCATTTAATAAGAAGTGGCGCGCTCTCTCTCTCTCACTCTCTCTCTCTCTTTCTCCCTTCTCCTTCCTTCCTTCCTCCATTCCTTCATTCCTTCTTTCCTTTCTTTTTTTATTTAGGGGAAATTGAACCCAGGACCTTCACACCAAGCCACATCCCCATGTCTTTTTTTTTTTCATTCTGAAACAGTCTCACTAAGTTGCTAAATTTCTCAGGCTGGGCTTGAATTTGCGATCCTCCTGCCTCAGTCTCAGCTCCTGCTCAGTCTCTGAGTGCTGGGAGTACAAGCATGTACCACTTTCTAGTGGTGTGTTTTATATATATATATATATATATATCTGCAAAGAACTTCCAAGTAACTTCTGCTCTTAGCAAATAATGAAAATATCTAGAAGCCACTTCAGTTGCCCAAGCCCTCATATTTAAACAAAATGGATTATTTCAAGGTATTGTCTACTTCCAAGATGCTAGAATCCATGCATTTGGTGCATGATATATACTATCCCTTTTCTTTTGAATCTACTGCATATCATCTATGCAACAGGGATTACAATTGGATATTTAGATACAGCACCCCATATAAATCTTTTTTTTTTTTTTTTTTTGTACTGGGAATCAAACTCAGGACCTTGTGCTTGCCAGGCAGGCACTATGTCGCTGAGCTATATCCCCGGCCCTCCCATATAAATCTTTTATGAGATAAACATTAATAAATACTACTTATTATTTTGTTCTAAAGGCTGGCATTTAGTTGAAGAATGCTGGACATCTCTTTGAATTCCTTTCAAGGGTATGAGGACAGTCAATAATGACATGATCTCAAAAATTACTTAATCTAAAGTTCTTGGGGTTATCGCTGGGTGCTGAACACCACTGCCCACTTTTTCATTGAACCTCTATACAGTAAACATTACCTCTTTTAAGAACCAAGCAGTTAAAGATCCAAATATAAGCATATCATTGGCTTCCCGGTCATGATGAGGGATCCCAACGCTGCATGCTTCCCAGAAGTCGCCCTTCCACCTGTCCAGGTTCCACGCAGAATAGCCTATGTCAAAGAGCACCACGTACGGACTCCCTTCTACCAGCCACCTTCCAAAATGCACCTGTCATGGGAAGAACATACAACCATGGCTTGATAGTGAGCAAGCAAAGCAGAAAAATGGATTTGAGCTTGAGGAATATAACTTTATTGAAGGCTCAACAGCAGATAAAGCTACACAGAAAACAGTGAAACGTTCACATCCACTCATCCCAAATCACTGCTCTTCTTTAAATTTGGTCATTAAAAAAATGTATGTAGATCATGTAACCTCTGTTTTTGATGTCTCTCTTTACCTCCCTGTGACCTTGCACTCATGGCTGTAGAGCTTGACATTATAGTCCACACTTTTATGATAGAGTCTTGAGATACAACATTCTGTATCTTCAACAACCTGGACATAACATCTACTGCATCACTTATCATTCTCCATGAAAGAGGAATTACAATGTTTTATGCCAGAAAAGATTTTTGTGATGGAAACCACTATGAAGCAGCCTGGAGCAGGACTTAAATTAACCAACTGACTTTTTATGTTTACTTGTGAATCTGTCCAAAGCTTAGGCTGCTTGTCTGGAAGTGGGTGACAGACTTACAGTAAGTGAACTTCTGTGAGTCACTAATCCCTATACTAACACCTGTAATGTCAGATGAAGCCAGAAAGCCTCAAAGGATGAAACAAGATCACAGCCAAGGACATCTGGATCTGATCTCAACTAGATAAAGACTGTAGCTTCAGGCATCTCACTCCTGGGTGGATTAACTTAATACCTTGCTTGGAGAAGTCCTTGAGTAATTCTTCCCTCCTGAGTACTCCCCTCCCTTCTTCTGATAACCAAATAAATACAGACCAACCAGAGAAGGTCTTCATCTTAGCCCTGAGAGAATCTCAAATTCTGTGAGAGGACTTTGATCCACCTGGAGTTCTGAAATTATTCCATTTGCCTCTTTTTATTTAGCCTTTGCCGTACACTCATTCAGGAGATTTCAGATGAAATCATCCCACAACAACGAAGGGATATTACTAACCCAATAAAGGTGTGTGATTTCCCTTACTGCTCATATTTAAAATACATGATCCAAAATATTTCTCAATACAGTTGTTGCTAGAGGTTTTAAGTAAATATTTCCCACGATACATTATCTTTTTTAATCTAGCAGCTCAAAGACTAATCTTACTGCATTCACAAAACTGACTTCTTTGATTTCTACTTGTTTGGCTGCAAATTTTGTTGCCTTAGTTATCTTAATTTTTTTTTCCACTTGCATTCACATAATCACTTGTTATCTAAGTTTTAACTTCTCTTCTGGCCTTCATATTTTATAGCAATTTGCATGTTCATATAGCTTGATTTTTTTATTCTATATTTGTTATCCTATTACATGATATGCAATCTCAAAAAGCACCTCAAATCCTTTTTAGATTTCAGCTATAAGCCTTTCTCATGGTGAATCCAATCCTCTCTAGGAAGCCAAATGTGGTCACATGACTTATATATTGACATGAAGGACTGGGCCCAAGGCTGAATTTTGCAGAGGTTGGAAACCCAATTAGACCATTTCCTCTCATGAAACTCAGGCATGTGTGGTGATAATCAACTCCATCCAAGCCCTGGCCAACCTTAGGTGAGCCTCCTTATTTAGTTTACATTTTAATTTACACTTATCATGTCATTCTTCCCTTTTGAGGTTGAATTTTCAGTTTTTGCTTTGGAACATTCATCGGTTCGTGTATGCCTACCATGAGATACAAGATCCAATGAACTCAGACAACAGAGAAGCGCTCAAAGCAGAAACAGAAAATGTAAGCCAGCTTGTCCTGACTTCCAGTCACTTTTCAGCTGCAACACGGAAACATCATTATAACAGACATTTAAAAAAAGAACTGAAACACAACTCTAACATGCCAACCTATTCAGCTGCATTCCATGGGGCTGGTTTCTATACCATCCCTTTCAGAGTAATAGCATGACTTGATTTTCTTTGAATGTCTTACTGGCCATTGAGAACAGAGCAGGTTGGACAAGCATAGAGAGGCTTGAGGTATCTAGAATCTCTGACCAAACTGATTACAGTGAAATAGCTCCTGTGTTTAAGATCTTAGCAGGCAGTCCCATGGTGCTTCTCCTCTTCCTCTTTCTCCGGCCACTCTTTCTAATATTTCATTTTCTTGTATCCAAACAAAACAACATGCACCCTTCTGTCCCTCTCCTAACATTTACTATAAGATGCTTCCCTGTTTCTCTCTGGGACTTCATGGACCCTTGTAAATGATATATTCTGTCCCTTAAGCTTGCATGTACCCCACAAGACCCTACTACTCACACAGACATTGTGAGATTTCTCATTTTTCACCCTCAGAAATTGTATTCCTAAGTATGAAAGAAAGTTATTGTTTCTTAAAAATTCCCTGAGAATTTTAAAGCCATATTCTTTATTGGTGTATGAAATGTTTTTGAAACTTATGGCGTTCAAATATGCTCCCTTTTCTTTTTCTACTATTTACCTGGTTTCTGTGTGACTTGTCTTTTTTTTTTTGTATGACTTTGTCTTAAGCAATGTCCTAGGCTTTTTTATCCTGCACATATACCCCATATTTGTCCCTTATTCACATCAAAGAACTTCATGTACACTTGATTCCAGCCCTCAGACTCATGCTACTTTCTTATCTTTGTCAAAAGCAGAACTGTTCCTCCTCTGAAATATTCCACATTAGAATTCTTTTACCAGATCACAACTTCTATAATTTGTCTTCTCTCTGTTTCTGCCAGTGTATATTTTTTCCTTCCTTCCT